GTGTTGCTGAGCGTGGAAGTTCGTTATAAACGGAAAGTGAATATACAACTAACCTAAAAAGTGATCGTTATATCCGGAAGTTCGTTATAAACGGGTTTGTTATAACCGGTTCATTATAAGCGGACTTTACTGTACTTCCAAAGGTATATTTTCTTCGTAATTTAAAGCCTAGAAAAATAATAATTTACAAGTTGACTGGGAAACCTTCTTTTCCAAACTCCAAAACATCTTTCGATCACGTTTCCTGTTCGGATATTGGACTTATTGTATAGCCTTTCGGCTCTTGTTCCAGGATTAACTAAAAGGGCTAACAAATAGGATCTAAGACCCTAGCCACTGTCATCCGTAATAAAAAAAATCACGAAAATATACTAAACGGTCCCTAATCGGGCGCTAATCAGCCAAAAAGTGCCGGTTAATATAATCGTTGTTTAGAATACACAAAACAGTGGTTAAGCGACGGTACAACACATTTTTGAAACTAAACGACGATTAAATGTTTAATCACTGTTTAGTCAAACGGTGCAACCGGGCATAAGCCTGTTCAGGAGAATCAATCCTGTTGTTTATTGCAGAACTAATCGATCGCAGTTTAACCGGCCGAAGGACAACTTTGCCAGTTCCCCGGCCTCATACTGGGGGGTTGTCTTTGTGGAATCTTCTCAGCAAAAACATTGGTAATTCGAATGTTTAAACCACCAAGCCAAGGTGATTAATGAGCCGTTTCAGGAAAGGATTTGTCCCAAGTGAGCATGCCAGTGGCCCTAAACGAGCCGCTGAATGCGTTGCAGAGACTGTGCGAAGAGCTGGAATATTCAGAATTGCTTGATAGAGCGGCCAACACTGAGGATCCCTACGAAAGAATGGTTCTAGTGGCTGCGTTTGCCGTCTCCGCCTACGCCAGCACCTCAAGCAGAGCGGGCAATAAGCCCTTCAATCCTCTGCTAGGAGAAACCTATGAGTGCATACGAGAGGATAGAGGCTTCAAGTGAGTGACTAGTCAGTTGAGAGCTGAAGTAATAAGGGCGTTTTTGCAGGTTTATAGCTGAGCAAGTGTCGCACCATCCGCCAATCAGCACCTGTTATGCCGAAAGTGCGAATTTCACCTTCTGGCAGGATGCGCGCATTAAAACCAAGTTTTGGGGCAAAAGTATGGAGTTCCAACCGGTGGGCTACGTGCGCGTTCAATTGCCGAAAACGGGCGACTTGTACACTTGGAACAAAGTAACCACTTGCGTTCATAACTTGTTCAGCAATCAGCGCTGGGTGGACCAGTACGGAGAGCTGAAGATCGAGAATGGCAAAATCTCCTGCAAGCTCACCTTTTACAAGGCGAGCTATTGGTCGTCGAAGCGGCACGAGGTCGGTTAAAAGCGAAATTTGCTTTGTAATTCCGTGCATAATGAGGGCGGTTTTGTCGGTTGTAGATTGTTGGGGCTGTGTATGATGAGGCGGGCAAGCCAGTCCGACGGCTTTTCGGCAAATGGTCGGAATCTTTGTACTGCGGGGTGGCGCCTTCGGCCCGTTGCATCTGGAGGGCCGGAAATCTGCCAGAAAACCACGAGCTGTACTATGGATTTACCAGATTTGCCATTGAACTAAACGAACTGGGTCCGAACGCTGCTCTACTTCCGCCAACCGATACCAGGTAAACTGCAAAATTAATTTGAATGCAATATTAGCCGTAAAACTATTCTGAGCCCAGCCAATTTCCACATGCCGACGGTGGCAAGTTCTAATTCTTATGGACCTTGATGTAGCTTATATTCTTATCTTTCCTGGGTCTCAGTCAAAGTGAGAAGTAAAAATTTTGAATATCGTTTATTTCATTACGTTTCGGCGAGACAACAGCGCCATCATCAGATTTAAAATTTAACCAAACTCATGATTGGTAAAAATCAACGTTCTTTTAGGTCTTTGCCTTCTTGAAACCTTAAATTTGTCTCTCAACTGTTTAGAATGTGATAATACATATATAGGACAAACTAAACAATATTTCAAAAAGAGAATGTACGAACATAAATACAGCCTGAGAAATACTAGTGAAAATAAATCGTAAAAGTACACGCAGTCGGGAAAATAAATCAGACTTAAATTCATCGAATCTTACTGATCTTTTAGGTAATTTACTGAGCTTCGAAATGAAAATATTCTGAATTAGCACGCGCATTTAATCAATATTTAAGTCCCAGACTATAATATTGATTCCTCAAGTGCGTCCAGATCGAAACGAAAGCCTCCGTCCCTTGGAAAAGGTCGCCCTCAATTTGCGTCCAAATGTCGCAATCCTTGAAGAAACGACCTACATAATTTGCGTCTAATTTACATAGCAATTTCGGCTCTTACCCTGCAAAAAAAATTTGGAAATCCCTGTTGGAATTCTAGATAATGTCAAAATTCCACCGGAATCGAGCCAACTTGCTACTTCCAAAATCGCATTCAAATGTTAATTAAAACCATCTTTTAGAACAAAACCCGGAAGTTTTAAAGCGTATCGAGGAGAAAACCTCACAAAATTAATGTCGATGTTTTTTGTCGTGTACAGATCGATTTAAACGTTGCACATAACTGTTAGATCTACGGAACGTGCATTTTCTGATCAAAACTTAATTGATTTTTTTAATCGACGTCAAGATCGATTGCTGCTATAAAGAACTAATGTACGTATTTTATTGTTTCATACAGGGTGGACTGCGCCAATCGAAAATATATGTTTTTTTAAGAAATATTTTTTACCCACAAATCAGTAAAAAAATAATTGATTGATTTTTTGCCGCCCTAAAATCCCGAAAACGCTTAATTATCCAATAGTTTTGACGGGGGTTTAGTTGGAAAGCCGCATAAAGTATTGATGTAATTCGGAACTGCGATATTTTAAGCCGTGAATGTATCAATTTGGAACGCAGCAACGCACAGGCCATTTTTCCTCTTTCATAGACGCATATGGGTGCAAGTGAGATAACCGAGGTCAGCTACGTTTCGAACTGACAAAATAGCAATTAACTCCTAAACAGTATTCTTTGTAAGTAATAAAATCCTGTGTTCTAATGTAAAATATATAGGGTGTCCCAGTTAATATTTCAAAACCTTCAAAACATTCTCGACCTATTTAGCGTCTATAAATAAATTACAGTTTTCGGTTCAACGTTGCCAAAATATAAAAACCACTTTACAAAATGTACCTAAAAGTAAATCTTCAACTGCACTGGTTCCTGAGAAACTGAATGCCACGCTTAAGTCCACCGGAATCGAGCCAAGTTGCTACTTCCAAAATCGCATTCAAATGTTAATTAAAACCATCTTTTATCGAGGAGTTGTTCTAAAAGATGCTTTTAATTAACATTTGAATGCGATTTTGGAAGTAGCAAGTTGGCTCGATTCCGGTGGAATTTTGACATTATCTAGAATTCCAACAGGGATTTCCAAATTTTTTTTGCAGAGTAAGAGCCGAAATTGCTATGTAAATTAGACGCAAATTATGTAGGTCGTTTCTTCAAGGATTGCGGCATTTGGACGCAAATTGAGGGCGACCTTTTCCAAGGGACGGAGCCTTTCGTTTCGATCTGGACGCACTTGAGGAATCAATATTATAGTCTGGGACTTAAATATTGATTAAATGCGCGTGCTAATTCTGAATATTTTCATTTCGAAGCTCAGTAAATTACCTAAAAGATCAGTAAGATTCGATGCATTTAAGTCTGATTTATTTTCCCGACTGCGTGTACTTTTACGTTTTATTTTCACTAGTATTTCTCAGGCTGTATTTATGTTCGTACATTCTCTTTTTTAAATATTGTTTAGTTTGTCCTATATATGTATTATCACATTCTAAACAGTTAAGAGACAAATTTAAGGTTTCAAGAAGGCAAAGACCTAAAAGAACGTTGATTTTTACCAATCATGAGTTTGGGTAAATTTTAAATCTGATGATGGCGCTGTTGTCTCGCCGAAATGTAATGAAATAAACGATATTCAACATGTTTACTTCACACTTTGACTGAGACCCAGGAAAGATAAGAAAATAATAACACCTACACTCAATCAGGAAAATAAATCAAAATACTTGATGTAGATTTAGGCCAGATCAACGCGCACTGGAAGAAGGCGATCTGAACACCGCTGAGGCTTTGAAGCTGCAACTGGAAAACGCGCAACGTGAAAGGCGGAAACGCCGCGAGGAATTGCACCACCATTATGAGCCCAGGTGGTTTTCCAATCCCGGAAAAGACGTATGGGAGTACAACGGGAAATATTGGGAGTTGCGGGATAAACCGGGCTTTGGCAATCTCCAGTTCGAGTCGCTGTGGTGACAATAAATTCCAAAATCTATTAATCGTTATACGGTAGAATGTTTTTAATAATTCAGAGTTTTAAGGCGAATATTTTAACGCTTGTTACGCGGCAGCTGCAATAGAAAGGCTATGCGCAAAACACATGGTAAGTTGCGTGTTGTTAATCTATGTAATTGCTTATGAGGAAACCTCCAAGGTAATCCAACTTTGGACTTTGTCTCCCCAATATTAACTAAATTGGGTCGCTTGAACGATTTTATACATAAATTAGTGTTTTTTTAATAATTAACTGGTACTACTGAGGTTTTTGCGACTACACAGTTTAACAAGGTTTTCAAGTGAAAACATTTGGGTTTTTAGTCCAAGTAAATAGCGCAGTAGTTCCAAAGTTTAAACCCCTGTAAAATGCGCGATTAGTGCTAATTGGAAGTTATTGGCCGAAAACCAGCAATTTTACCTTCAGCCTTATTCTTCTACTCAAATGTCTCCGTTGAATAATTATTTCAAGCGCAGTTTTACGTAAATTTTCTAATGCAATTTTTTTGTTTCAAAAAATTCGGTTTCTCAGTCTCAAAAACTCAATAGTCAAGCAAAATAAGTTGGGAACACAGGAAAACGTAAATGACACCAGATGATTTAAATAGTTAAAAATGTACAAATTTCAACTATATTTCAGTTTTGACGATGCATATATTTCTGATACTTTATACGGGGTGTCCCGCCCGGAAACACCGCGATCTATAATTAGGACAAATCAGCACAAGTTTGTCGATGATTGGCTTTTTCGGGCCGGACACCTTTTATAAAAATCTGCTACCTTTATTGGAATGGGAGTATTTCCACAGTCGGCGTTCCCCGGATTGTTTCTGTTCTCACTTTTATCGTCATTTTTTGTGATTTTCCCAATCAAAAACTACGTAATAGTCCTATTTTAAACGAAAGCTGCCTAACGGGTTTATGTTTTAACTAGAAATACTTTGAAGTACCTTGGCTTGCGATATTAAGCAGACTTTAATAGTTGGCTACAGCCTAATGTAACTCTTAGGGTTGGTAAGCTAAATATAATTTATTTATAAAAATGGTGTTTTTAAAGAGTATACGTAGTTCGCGTCGAGCATATCTGTGACTTTGACAAAATTGAGTCGTTTGTAGTATGTATTATTGTTAATTGAAACGTTTGATTCGAGTTAGTCTCAAGGGAGATTTTCGGTAAAAACCATTGCAAAATCTACACTTTAAGGGCGGTTGATACACAACGACTTATCTAAAGGTCAGTGGTGGCCGTAGATGCGTTACATGTTTGCATCAATAAACCCCGAATCAAGTGCTAACTTTTAGGCAAAAATTACACGATATACGCGACACTGTAGATGCCTCCACCACATTAGTCGCTTGTTCAGATACAGACTGGAACTGGAAAAAACGTCTTGATTCTGTTTTTTGAAAAAAAACTTGGCTTGTTCGATTGTTATCATCCTGATAACAATCAAACAACTCCTTAACGTCGACGGTTTCCAAATTGTCCGAAATATTCTCCTTAAACGTTAAAAGGGAGTCTTTAAACCGATAACGTCTGTCGCTTAATCGCATCGGCTTTACTTGATACGACAAGAAATTGTGTCTCAGCCGCTCTTTTGTGATTGACTTTTAATGCTCTCGTTTTTTCGTCAAAGCAGCGTCGTAGAAAAGCGATACTGTTCAACTGGCAGTGATAACTAGAAAATTTAGAAAACAATTATAATAATTTGCCTGGTCAGTTGAACAGTATGCCGTTAACGCACCATCCGTGATAATATGTTAAATATGCAGTAACCGGCAATAAATTCAATGCGAATTACTTTTTCATGTGTTTTTCATAAATTCATTGAATACTCCCTATAATCCAAACCTTTCCAAATCATTTCAACAAGTAAATATAGACGAAAAAACAAATAGCAAATAAAAATACATATATCTAAAAAAATGATAAATTACACTACAAAAGGCTTCAATTGGAAACTGATTCAGAATCTGGTGAAACCAGTAGTAAACGGAAAATACAATTATCACAACCACAACACTGACAGAATAAATCGTTGCTCAAGTCCTGAAGCAATTCGTCAAGTCACTCAGTCTAAAAAACGCCTTTGAGAAGAACCAACCTTTAAGATTTTAACTTCGCTTTCGAGCTGATCACTGCCAACATAAACTCGCACCGTAAATTGGGAATGATTCACATTATTCGGGAGCTTGACCTTCAGTTCCGCTGTATCCCCTGGAGCGATCTCTCCTCTGGTTGGTCGGATGAGTAAACCAATTGGCGTGCTGCTCACTGTATAAGACAGTGTTTCATTGGCCTCGGACAGCAAAAAGAGGCTATCCTCAGGCTTGGACTGGAACAACATTAGTGAGGGCGGCTCCATGCGAAACGAGATACGCGGGACTGTCGCTGCGTCCCCTACAAAAGTCGCTTGTTCCCATAGAGACTGGAAAACCACCGAATCATCCGGACACTCGGCCACTAACGTTTGATTTGGGTCCTGCTCGATGGTGACCAGCATCTCCTTAACGTTGACGTTTTCCAGAATATCCGAGATGGCCGAAGTATTCTCCCTGAACATTGCGAATTCACTGGAATATATCTCTCCTTGAATCGGCTCGGACAGCATCGATGTTAATGCATCTACAGTTAGCCGTTTATCTAGACACTTCCTCTTCAGTCGCCTGAGCCTAAAGCGATTTGCTTCGGCCCCAGAAACGATTTCTAGCTTTCCAATATCGACTACAGGTAAAACGTTGAGGTTTTGCTTGAGAATGCGACAGTCTTTGGCGTTTGGGATGTAAGTGATGCGAATTATGCGCTCTTCACTGGGCAACAGCACAAACAGGTTGGGTTCCACTTTTAGGCTGGTGAAAGTGACTAGATTCTTAGGAACCACTTTGATATAAGTGAAGGACGGGATATTTCCGGTGTTTTTTATGGTGAACGATTGGTTCATTTGCACCCGATTATCCATTCTGCCCAACGACATCCAATATTTCCCTGCAATCAACAGAATTATATAAAGACTGTTGCTCCTCTGATTAGAAACCTACCAGTATTGTCTCTGCTCACGTTGTGATACTCAGAACAAACGTAGCCGCCGTAGCCCCACAATCGCACACATTGTTTCTTAGTCTGCTTCAAGTCAGCATCCAGCGGCGTGAAAACTAGTTCATCAAAAGCCGCTCCTATTTTAGTGGGAGTAAACGATATTATCAAAGGCCTGGATTCGTGTCCGTGAAGCACGAATTTGCACGCGGTCAGTTGGTCCGAATCAGACCTGATATCTTTCCTGATCTTAAATTCGTGGCTCGATAGACAGCACTGCAGCCTCAAGGTTTTCGGTGTTTTGTTCCTTAACAGAAACTGTTTGGTAACAGACCTGAAACAATTTTTTTATAAAAAAAAATATATATTAAAATCCCCGGGCTTCGCACCGATCCACTTTAACGCATCCCCAAACCAGCTCAGTCACTGTACTGTCGATAGGCAATTTGCCATTGGGAAGACTTGACAAAGAACTGGAGCTTCTGGGTGGCTCTTCAGCACTAGAAGGTTGGGTTTTCTGTGAGCCGCTGGTAAAGGTTTGGTTTTTCGGGCAAACAATCTGCTTGTCCGCAACATCATCTGCGAGGCGTGCGGCAACTGGAACTAAAACTCCCATATTATTCCACAGCTTCAACCCATTGTACAAAACTCACATTCCACAGCTTCATTGTCTGATAACGACGAAGTACACGAAATATTTTGACTCACTGGCAGGCTAAACGACTCGCTAGCTTTCCCTGGATCACTGGATTTTTTTGAAGGATTCCTGCTTTGCTTCAGCAAGTACTCAATTATGTTATCCTGCGTTCCTTCGAAGAGTAGCCTCTGAATTGCACTCACACTCAAACTAGCGCCAGCGCTCGCATTAGATGCAGAGTTGCTTGCTTCTAATTGTTCTGCCACACTGGGGCGTATGGATGGCTCCCAAAGAGCTACTGGCTGATTTTTCTCCGGACTGGGAGCGAGCAGTTCCGCAAGATCATCAGAGCCCTTTTGAAAGAACTCGCCAATCGTAACGGAGGTGGACATGGAGGGGCGGCAAGTATCGGAAAATGAGGCCTGCTTTGGAGCTAGTGGGATTTCATTCTTTTTTCTCCATGAAAGTTCGTCGGCGATTAGACGAGACTGCGCCAGTTCCCCAGGTGTGAACAGTTCGCTGTCCAATGAGGCGTTTGTTCCGACTCTCGAGGCTGAAAATCGGTAAAATTGAAAAATTTGCTCAAAAATGCTGCATTATTTCAATACCTTGAGCTATCTGCTTGAACTCTTCTAGGACGTTTTCAGTGCTGATATCCGTATCCAAAATGCTGCGGAATTTTGAAAAAATCGACTCCCTCGGAACGGCAGCGCTTTCCGACATCAGAAGATTTTCATTTGAAGAGTTCCGTGGAGTCGAAGTGTTTTCCTTTGTTGTCAACAAATCAGTTTCGCTGATGGTACTGTCGAATTCTAACTGCAAGCCTGTACTGAAGTTCTTCGCTTTATCAGGTTTTAGAAGAAATGAAGGAATGGCCGGAACTCTTGAAGCCCTGTTCAGCGTAGTGCTCGCTTTTTCTCTACGCATTTGCAAAAGTTCATCCAGATTGTCTTGTGTGTTTGCAATGTTGGATAAATCTATATCTGTAAGATTCAGGATAGAACTCATTGAGGTCTCAATGCTGCAAGCAGGAGGGTCTTTTCGCTTCGCTACTGTGGATGTTGCCAGGCAATTGGCATTTTGGTTTTTTGGCGTCGAAACTTGCATGCTCCCATTCATCCTAGTTTTGGAATTTTTGGATTTAACACTTACTGAAAGACCTGATACGATGAGAAAATATGTGGAAATAGCTCAGAAATAAACACTTCAGTTTTAACGTTCACCTGATTTTTTGGCTCACAGTGGAGGCCAAAAAAACAGTAGAATGTTGGCAAAAACTTTCAGCAAACACAGTTTGTGAAATATACATAAACTGCTGCTTGAAAATTAGTTAGGGAAACTCCAAAAAACTACTATAATATCTGCTTATAGTGTACCTGATTTGAATGTGCCTTCAAACCCACTCGAATAGTTTAAAATTGAACAATAAAAACTCAATACACTAAAAACCGGAACGTTACTGACTGAAGCCTACAATTTTAAATAAACTGGATTAATGTCACTGTCATAGACTGTCATCCAAAGTTTCCGTTTACCCGATACTGGACGGATTGCCTACCTTGTCTAGTACATGTAACTTTACAATGATTGCAAAAAGTTCTGAAATACACAGCGAAAAAAAAGGTTTAGTGAATTCAAGTTCATTCCAACCAAAATAAGTGCAAAAGTATGCGGGCAAAAACAATTAAAATTCTGCTTTTGATGAAAAAGCTCTTTGAACGTGCTTCCTCTCTTGAGTGCTTGTCTTTATCATACAAAGTCCGAGCTTTTGAGGTTAAGTGTTTGTTGACAAATTAAGACAGTTCACTAGAAATGAATTAGTTGGCTCTCTAAATTCGTGCATTTGGCGAAATATCAGTAGTATTAAAGGCTCTAAATGATCAATTGACAAAGTAGACTGTTTACTCATAGTGATGGAGCACATATTTACCGTTACACGACGGCCAGTCCGCATCAACAACCATTCAAAGTATTCACTCTTCAACAGGTAAATGTTTAGATTTCCAACGATTACTATGCTACAATCAGCTCTGTTCACTATTTGACCGCTTGATTTTAGTTGCAGATTTGAAAAATCGGTAATTTGCTCAATATCCTGTATCAACGTAATCGCCTTTAGCACCCAGAGTAACATCGAAGAGAACAGTTCGTTTTTCAGCTCCAACGTGTATGTGGCGGACTTAAACACCCCTTGGCAAGTGCACAAGTGAGTAAAACTTCTTTCGAACTGCTACTTGTACTACTGCTCACTTTTGTATTTGTAGAATATTGTGCAACTCTGCTCCTGTAACGGTACTGCAATGGGATTTCACTGGGAAACTGCTGTTGATTGGAGATGAAAACGGTTGCACGCGAATTTACACAACTCCAGACCATATTTTAAACGACTGGCAATTGTATCTGGAAGTGCCTTTGGAGGGCGAGCACATTCTCGCTGCTGCGTTCTTCCATCCAGGGAAAAAGGTGCTAAGCCAAGCTGCTTTTGAGGTCTCAACCACGTTAACCAGTGAACTTTTTTAGATCTGTCTCAACACTGAAAAGAAGGACAGTTCTTGCTACTTCGATAAGTTTTCACATGTGAAATTTGCGTGCTCAGTCAAACAGTTCGGAGGCCGACCCTCCAGTGGCGTGCTCCTACTCACCACCACTGGAATGTTGGCTGCAGTACTTTTGCCCCAAACTACCACGCAAACGCCCATGGTAATGGCAACGGAATGCCTGGGCCCTTCCAGGGGATTTATCAAGAATGCGGATATTTGCTATGGCAAAAGTATAGCCTGGTAGTTTTAACCATGCGAAGTATTTAATACGGATTATTGGTTTCAGATGGGCATTTTCTCATTGCAGTGAGCAGTGGAGATCCTTCTATGCCAGTGCAATGCTACACGGTTTCAGTGAAGAAAATTGATGATAAGTGCATCATCACCAGCCAGACTTTACTGGCATTTTTCCTATTCGAAGCCCCCAAGGAGGCTTTAAGTATGTCCGGTCCCAGTCTAGACTCCATTAGCTAAGTAGTGGTTTTTCAGAGCAAGTGATTAAGGACAAGAACTGCACAATTAGCCACATTAAGTGGATTATGCGGGAAGATGCGGATTCTATAGTAGTGGCTGCTAACAGCAACAACCAAAGCTGTTTGCAAGTGTGGGAGCTTCGAGAAAAGCCACTGCCTGTGCATAAGTCCTTTGGAAACACTGAATCCTCGCAGTTTTTTAATCGAGTGGTAATTACAAGTAAATAAGGTTGCCACAAGATTTCATTTTGGGCTGATTTTCTAGGTTTGGCAATACCAATGCCACTTCCAATACAGCAGCAAAGTGACCGCACTGGAAATCAACAAATTGAGCCTGATAAACAGTGTTTCCAGTGGCTATATTGTGGTCACCTTTTCCGATAATACTGTCCACTGTTTGTATCGGGACACGCTCAAACCCATCGCCAGCACCTCCCTGGCAATAGCCAGGCAACTTGAGGAGCCGCTCAGCAAAGTTCCAAGGCTAAACACTAAAATCGCTAGTATCGACTTGTCTTGGCTGGGCAACGTGCTTCTGATCATGGACTCTGATGATAACTTACACCTGCTGAAACTTCCTCCGCAGATCGAAAGCACCGCACTCAGTGTCCCCTACTTTACCACTGTTCTGGAAGTAAGTGATCTGCAGTAGGCGGCCAGTTTAATACTAGTGTTTCCTTTCAGTACTGTCTGATTGGTGGGTTCGACTGGCTGGATCTGATGCTAGTTTTGCGACCCAGTATGATAGAAGCCGTGTGCGATCGGCTAACTGAAAGCTTCAACAGACAACCGGGATTTGTGCAACAGTTCTTCTACATCCAGTTGCTTTGCATCAAAGTTTCCCTCTACAGGTTAGTAAGGGGTTTTCACTTACGTATAATTAGCAGTTCTTAAAAGTGTTATTTTTCTGGCTGTCGAGTAGCCATTTATCCACTCACATTTCTTCTATTACAGATTAAGCGCTAACGGGCAATCCAAGGCAAACGATTTATCGAGTTTTCTGATGCTGCACAGCATTTCGATTGCGTTTAAAAGCCTGTTGCGCCCCAGCGAAATGAACACTCCGGAAAAAAGCCCCGCTGAATCCCTTGCAGGTAAACTTAGTACCTACTTACTTAGTTTACTTTAATGGCTTCTCTGATGGATTTGCAGCCGAAGCTGAAGGGCAAACGGACGTTGATAAAGTGCTAATGAACTTGGAAGCCAAAGAGTTCACGATAGAGCCATCGACATTGCAGAGTCTGCAGCAGCTGATCCAGTGGATTGCCGATCTGGCTTTGAACTTGCTGGTAAAGGTACCGGATAGTCGACCGTCCATTGGCAAGCCTTATGAGCTGATTAAGGACGTGAAGGCGTTGAATATGCTGAAGGAAATGCTGGTTTTGATACGGATTTGGGGCCTGCTTCGGCCAGCATGTTTACCTGTGTTCATTCGATCCGATGCCAATATGGACGTTTTGGCTTTGCTGTTTCGGTATGTGGATTAGTTGAGTGAATAATCCCAAGTGTAGTTTCAATGATTTTCAGGCTTCTGAGTCGGCTGGTGCAGAATGTGAATGAACCTGATGACGCTCTAGTTGGTAAGTTTTCACTCTCAGCTCTGAAGTTGGGCAGATTTTTGCATTTCTGAATAATCTCTAGATGATTGCTGCCTTTTACCGAGCCAAGTTCAAGTGCAGCAAATGCAGGCCTTCAGCAACCGGACAGTGTTGGCCTCTCCGCAGTTTTCGCAGCTGATTCTTCCCCTTCAGGTAAACGAATTTTCCATAAGTTTCTTGGCTTCAAATTGGGTTTGTTTAGTTGGAATTCAATGTGGAACCGGAATGTTTGACTGCACCAGGCGACGTTAGTTCAAATCAGACCATCGACTCCATTCGGCATTTGTATTTGGGGAAGAATCCCCGTGTGGTTAAGCAATGTGTCCGATGTGGAAATTCCGCTGGGACGACGCCGCTGGCCAGAACCGCAGCCATAAGGGCTTGGGATCAACGATGGTCCAGATCTTGCCAGTGAGTGAAAATTGTTCCTTTTTTGTAGTTTTGGCCTGTTTGTTTTTGTACATAGGATGTGATATTTTAGGTGCGGCGGGCAATGGAAACTGCAGGTGTGCGTTTAAAGTCGGAAGTCAATTATCATCTACACAGAATGTATTATTTTGTATTATTATTATACACAAATTGATATTGTATGTACATTTTCATAATTATGTAAATAAACGACTTTTACATAAGCACCAGTTTTTTTTCGGTTTACACTACTTGGTTGGTTTCAATTCCAATGTCAGCATTTGCATCGAATTCTAGTTGCTTCAATGCGTCGATTATGCACTTCATGGTGTCGAAGCACAAAAATCCGGGATCTTCTCGTCGAATTAGGTTGCAATGTTTCAGTGCCTGCACTTCAGTCGGTCCATAGAAATGGCTAATGAAATGAAAGAGATTATCATAGAGCAGTTTGGTACCATCTTCCGATAGGAATCCTTGTTTTTTATAGCTGCAAGCCAAAAAATCCCGATATTTATTATTGTCTCTGGGGAAAATTTCCGTTTTGAGGATATTGTAAACGATGCTTCCACTCAGCTGGACTTCTTCCAAGCAACTGGTCGCTATTTCATGCAGCTCGCTTTTGCTTAGCAATTTATGCGTTCTAACTGGATTCGGCTGAAAACATTATATTTTATTTAGTGTTGTTAACTTGCAAAATTGCTGAGAAACTTGAGAACACACATACACACAACGTTTTGAAGTCAACTACAAGAAAGTACCGCAAAACCTCAAAAAAGAGACAAAGTTGCCCTGTTTTTCAAACACTTTTGGCTTTAGTTAAATCACCCAGTATACATATTGAAGTGGATTTTTCGGTAATTTAGAGTTTAATTAATTGCGCATCTTAAGTGTTGCGTGGCTAATCAGCAGCTATTGACCCAATGGGCAGACAGTCATCATTTGGATTTTAAAACGTAATACATAATTAGAGCCTACCTGTACTGATCTCATACAGAAAATGCCCATTAAACACAAAACTATCGTCGTTTTTGCCATTTTCTGAAAAATATTCCTCAGCTTCTCGACTTTTACGGTTCAATTGAACAGTTTTGATATATTTAGGTCATTGCCAATAAATCCTTATCGGTTGACCTGGCCTTATAAAATGGTGAGGAAATTATCGCACTTTGCGTTTTAGAGCCAATTAATTGCACTTGGGAAGCAACAAACTCCATTTGAACGGAATTTTCATTGGCTTGTTACGTGAATATTTGATTGGAAAAAGTGAAAACTATTGCAAATCGCTCTGTTAGGGTCTCAGAAATTGTTTTTTGAAATTTTCGCAATTTATAGCTCAGACGTTCCTTTTGACTGAATTCGAATATCAAATCGCCACTTGCTTTAGTTCCGGAGTTATAATTTTTTTATTGGCTGGAACTGCAATTCAGGAGCGTTCAAGAATTTCTGAAGAATCAGCAAATGCTCAGATTCTAATTAATGTTTCGCCCTTTTACCTCAAACCTTCCTTTTGGGTTGGCCATTTTCAGGATATCGCTACTTTAACTAATTTGGGAGAGGATTTTACTTTAACTCATCTGCAGTTCATGAGCGTTAGAGTTCATAAATTTCAGTTGCAAGCTTCAAAAGTTCCTCCATTTGGTTGAAACGTCCACAACGTTTCGCCAGCACCACTAATGGCAACTTCAGTGGTTGTTTATCAATTGACACTATTACATATTTTATTTTATATTTTTTACAGAGCAAAAATCGGGATTTACACTGTCTTTTTTTTGTCTAAAAGAAAATGTGCAAAAAATGACTATTGGCAAAATGAGCCAGATTGAGTTCAGCCGTTCACTGTTTGGCCAATTTCAAAGAATCTCACGAGATGTCAGCAGGCGCCGTTAGTGATTTGTCGTGTATTTTTCATTGACAGCTTGTCACTGAACACCACAGAACACCTCTGAACGTGTCTGGAAACTTCAAACAATTGTCAAATTTATAGTTTCAAACAGATTTAAAAGAACGGTTAACTCATAAAGAGTTTGTTTAACAAACTTTGTTAACTTTTATCACATTTTAATCTGCGATTTTCAGCCATGGATCAGGTTTTCAACTTCGATAAAACCTTCCAAGTTCGTCTGGATGAGTATGAAAAGGTTTTCTTCGAAGGCCAACCATTTCCATACGCAGAACTCCAAAGTGAGTGGGCCTTTCACTTGGAGCTCACTCTGGACCCAAACGGCTGGCAAGCAATCTGGGACATACCCCGGTCACAATGCGAAAAACTCAAGCTACCATTTCCTACCATCCTCCTGGTTTATGTGATTCAAGTACACTATTCCGACTTATCGTCGCTGATTAGGATTATGGCTGTCCAAGATGAAAATATAGACTTGCCTGATAAGCTCACAGTTCCCCTGATCGAGCTGTGGGCAACGAAGAAGCAAGATAAAAGCATTGCCTTGAATCTGGATTCAACTGCCAACGCTTTGGATATGCTGAGGTTTTTTTATTTGAACTTGGTGCGACCGTGGGATGAAGATGAGGACTGTGCCGACTGGAAGCGAGAGCATTTGATTGCCAGGTACTGGTCACGAGCTCAGCTACTGAGGAGAACATAAATCTGATGAATTTTTACTGTTTCAGATTGAAACTGTTCTATGATATGAAAAATGGAAACGTTCCCAAAAGGGCAGTGGAACAAATCTTCAATTTAGTAACGGAAGCCAAGGCGCACCATTCCGAAAAAAATAATCTCATCAATGTCTGTGATAGTCTTTGTCTTGACCACGAGGACAATGTGGAAGGTAAGTTGGGGCAATATGGAATTTTTTTTCACAGTTCAAAATTCAGTTTCAATAAGCTTCAATAAAGCAGACTCTCCATATATGGCAGCCTAAATACTCCTTGCATCTTCAAAAAACCTATCGTAATCATCCTTAATCTTGTTGTGACCCATTTTTCAACTATTGCCCATTAGTTTGACGTAAAAGGAAAAACGTTTTGAAAGAAAAAAAGATTGAGAAGTTTACGCTGCCGACTTTTCCAGATGAAAACGTACAGAGATTAATTGCAGTCACAGTGCGGTTGGCGCAAATCCAACACGAACTGACACTGTTGGAGAACGAGACTTTCAGGAATGTGATGCTGAAGTCCGGAGAGTACAGGAAGATCAATTGCAAGCCCCAAATTTGGTTGGTGACTGACGCATGTAAGTAGCGGTTCGTTTAACAACAACCTTTAAATAATCGACAATCTCTTGCAGCCACAGGAAGAAATCACATCAAGCTGTTCGAGTCCGTCGAGGAACAATTCCAAAATGAGCAAATAGCACTCGCTCCAAACTTTACTCAGAAATTATTATCTGCAAACTCAGGCGATACGATTTTACTCAGTCCGCAAGAACACAAATTCAACCATAAAAGGTATTTGCTGGAAAACCTAACTATAAAAGGCATTGGCAACGCTCAGGTAGTTTGCGTGCCGTTATTGGCCGATACTACGCTGTTTGACTTCTACGGGGGACATTCCGTGATAGAAAACATCACCATTGACTGCAAAAACGTGAATTGTGCAGTCCTAGTCCGCACTGGTCATGTTTCATTGAAAAATTGCAAAATTGTCGGCAATAATCCATCCGCTACAACGCAAGGAATTGTCGTCTTGAATGGGGCAAAGCTCTCACTAATTGCCTGTGATTTATCGGGATTTGCAACTGGCTTAATGGGAAATAGTGGTTCTGAACTCGAAATCACTGATTCACTAATTTGCAAATGCCAATCAGGAATAAAAGCATTTGAAAAATGCCAAATAAACATTCAAAACACCATCATAAAGGACTGCGATGAGTTTGGAATCCTCATTCAAACCGATCAAGACTTTGGCTTTGATCAGCACTCTGAACATTCGTTCGAAAAGCTGAACTCGTAAGTATTTACAGGAAAATTTCCAGAATTCGACTAAAACATATAATGTGTTATAGAATTCCTGAAATCACCGCCAAGTTGGTCAGTGGAAGCAACAACAGAAGGGGCGATTTATTCGTGAAACCATTTAATATTAAAGTTGTTGAGGACTTGTTTGGAAACCCAGATTTCGACCCGACCATTATGGAGGACTCTGATGAATCTTAAAGCAGTCTATTGCAATTTTTCCAGAACGATAAAACGGTAACTGTTTTATTCGGCAGAAATCTAAGTAACAAATACATGCGTTCTTATATAATTCAAAAAACACTTGTCTATATCAATTCTTCCGAGATCAAATATGTATCATCTAAAGGAAATTTTTAGATAAATACTTGCAAAATGGTTTATTTGGGCAATTAGCCGAAAATTTTTGAGTTGTTGGAATGTGAAAAATTTGCCGGTTTTCCAACGTAAAACTTTTCGTGCAAAATACCCAAGACCCCAAATTTAGAGTTGCGGGAAAAAGAGCAATTCCTCACGTTTCAATAACCAGAAATTCTTCGGTCAAATTGATGTAAATTGACCATCTGATTTTTTAATTAATTTATGTTTCTGCAAAATGCCATGCGTAAAATATTGCAAAAGATTAGAAACAAATGTTCACAGCCGCGCGATTGAACTGCATAGTTCTGATGGCCTTGCAGTAGATATGCAGTGTTAGAAGTTTGCTTCTTTATTTTTCTTGTTTTTGTTATTTGTTTCTTTATTAATAATATTTAAGTTGTAAATTTATATTAAGATTGTATAAAAACCAAGGAAAATTGGCAATAATGTGGTTTTTTAGTTGCACTTTCACAACGTCCTGTTTCCGCCTTCCGATAAAACAAATTGGTAGAAAACGTGTACATTTCAGTCTTTTAAAATTTGAAAGAAATACTCTGGTTCTAATCGCGTATCTTCTGGCAAATCGGTGTAGTGAACTGCGTTTTTGTACTTTTGAAACGACCCCAACGTTTCACCAGCACTACTAATGGCAACTTATAGCTTAATATTTGTTACGAACGAAAAATCGAGGTTTTCACTCTCTTTTTTTGTCAAAAAAATGCAAAAAATTACTGGAAAATGTAGCCAAATTGAGTTCAGTCATTCACTGTTTGGCCAATTTCGAACACTCTCACGAGATGTCAGCAGACGCCGTTAGTGATTGTCATGTTTGTTTTCATTGCGAACGTCTCGGAACGTGTGTCTAGATAGTTTAAACAATTGTCAAGTTTAACGTTTCAAAGAACGGTTGACTTAAGAGTTTAGCTTTTACCATATTCGAATGTTGGAATCTGCGAATTACAGCCATGGATCAGGTTATCAACTTCGATAAAACCTTCCAAATTCGTCTGGATGAGTATGAAAAGGTTTTCTTCGGAGGCAAACGATTTCCATACGCAAAACTCCAAGGTGAGTGGGCCTTTCACTTGGAGCTCACTGTGGAGCCGAACGGCTGGAGAGCGATATGGGACATCCCCCGGTCACAATGCGAAGAACTCAAGCTACCATTTCCTACCATCGTCCTGGTTTACGTGATTCAAGTGCACCATTCCGACTTATCATCGTTGGTTAGAATTTTGGCTGTCCAGGATGAAAATATAGACTTGCCGGATAAGCACATAGTTCCCCTGATCCAGCTGTGGGTAACCAAGGGGCAAGATGAAAGTATTGCCTTGAAACTGGATTCAACTGCCAACGCTTTGGATATGCTGAGGTTTTTTTATTTGAACTTGGTGCGACCGTGGGATGAAGATGAAGACTGTGCAGACTGGAAGGGAGAGCATTTGATTGCCAGGTACTGATCTGATGAACAGCTCAGCTACTCAGGAGAACATAAATCTGATAAATTTTAACTGTTTCAGACTGAAACTGTTCTATGATATGAGAAAAGGAAACATTCCCAAAAGGGCAGTGGAACAAATATTCACTTTAATAAACGAAGCCAAAGCACTGAGTTGCGAAAAGGAGCATCTGGTCAACCTCTGTGCTAGTCTGTGTCTTGACTACGAGGACAATGTGGAACGTAAGTTGGGGCAATATGCAATTTGTGTCTAATTTTATTTTTTTCGCAGTTCAAATTCAATAGCAACACTTCAAAGGTCAAGTATTTCAGCAACAATACTCATTGCATCTTAAAAAACCTATCGTAATCATGCCACTGCATTTTTGAACGATTATCCATTAGTTCCATGTAAAGGAAAAAAGATTTGGTATAAAATTGGGAAATTTACACTACTGACTTTTCCAGATGAAAACGTACAGAGATTAATAGCAGTCACTGTGCGGCTGGCGCAAAACCAACACGAACTGACACTGTTGGAGAACGAAACTTTCAGGAGTGTGATGCTGAAGTCCGGAGAGTACGGGAATTTTCCTCCAATGATCGAAGGCAAGCCACTAGTTTGGTTGGTGACTGAAGCTTGTAAGTAGGGTTTCGTTTTACAACAACCTTGAAATAATCGACAATTTCTTGCAGCCACAGCAAGAAATCACATCAAGCTGTTCGAGTCCATAAAGGAACAATACCAAAATGAGCAAATAGCCTTCGCTCCGAGCTTTACTGAGAAACTGCTATCTGCAAACTCAGGCGATACGATTTTGCTCAGTCCGCATCAACACAAATTCAACCATAAAAGGTATTTGCTGGAAAACTTAACTATAAAAGGCATTGGCACCGCTCAGGTAGTTTGCGTGCCATTATTGGCCAATACTACGTCGTTTGACTTCCACGGGAAAAAGTCTGTGATAGAAAACATCACCATTGACTGCAGGAAAGGGAACTGTGCAGTCCTAATCCGCACTGGTCATGTTTCATTGAAAAACTGTAAAATTATCGGCAAAAATTCATCCGCTAAAACGCAAGGAATTGTCGTTTTGAATGGGGCGAAGCTCTCACTAATTGCCTGTGATTTATCGGCATTTTCAACTGGCATAGTGGGAAATAGTGGTTCTGAACTTGAAATAACTGACTCACTAATTTCCAAATGCCAATCAGGAATCAAAGCATTTGAAGAATGCCAAATAAACATTCAAAACACCATCATAAAGGACTGCGAGGAGTTTGGAATCATCATTCAAACCGATGAAGACTTTGGCTTTGATCAGAACTCTGAGCATTCCTTCGAAAAGCTGAACGCGTAAGTATTTACAGGAAAATTTGTAGAATTCGGCTAAAACATACAATATGTTATAGAATTCCTGAAATCACCGCCAAGTTGGTCAGTGGAAGTAACAACAGAAGTGGCGATTTATCCGTGAAACCATTTAATAGTAAAGCTATTGAGGACTTGTTTGAAAACCCAGATCTTGACCCGACGATTATGGAGGATGCTGATGAATCTTAAAAAGTCTATTGCAATTTTCCCAGCTTTACACTTGAGAACAATATTGAATCAAGGCCCTGGTTGTTTGGAACAATAAAACGGTAACTGTTTGTATGGCATTCTGCATAAATCTGAACAGCAAATAGATTTTCTTATATACAATTCAAAGAACACTTGTCTATGACAATTCTTCTGAGTTGAAATATGCATAATCTGAAGGCATTTTTAGGATTAATACTTACAAAATGATTTATTTGAGCAGTTCGCCGACAATTTTCGGGTTGTTGGAATGTGAAGAATTTGCCGTTTTTCCAACAGATCAAATTTTTCATGCAAAATACCCAAGACCCCAAATTTAGAGTTGCGGGAAAGAGAGCAATTCCTCACGTTTCAATAACCAGAAATTCCTCGTCCAATTTGATGTAAATTGAAAATCTGATTTATTAATTTATTATTTGTTTCTGCAAAAAGTCGTGCGTAAAATATTGCAAAATAAGATTTGAAAGAAATATTCACAGGCGCGCGTTTGAAGTTGCAATAGATCCGTGTTAGCAGTTTCTGCTTTATTTTTCTCGTTTTTGTTATGTATTTTTTAGTTATATTAAATTTGTAATATTAAAGTTTGTATAAAAACTAAGGAAAATTGGCAATAATGGGGGTTTTTAGTCGCACCTTCACCAACGTCCCGTTTCCGCCTTCCCCTAAATTGGTAGAAAACGTGTACATTTCAGTCTTTTAAAATTTGAAAGAAATACTCCAGTTCTAATCGCGTATCTTCTGGCAAATCGGTGCAGTGAACGGCGTTTTTGTACTTGTCGCATCCAAATCGAGCTCTCAAAGTGGCAGGGCGAATTTGCCTGGCAATATCCGAATCTGAAGGCCCACAAAACATCCTGAACTCACTGTGCACATTTAGGTCTCGGGTTTTCCCAGCTATTTCCAGCGCTACACAAGGCCCGTCGATAAAACTCAGCAGCATCGCATGGTAGTCGCTGACCACGCCCTTGTAAACTTCGAGAAACTCATCAGCATTCGCGTTGTTTAAATAGAACATCTGCAGAGCGGTGATTTTGTAATGCGATTCATTGATTGCTGATAGAACATGGCCGAGTTTTCCTTCGAGGATTGCATGGGGCTTCACGACGCAACAAGTAGTGTTTTGGAGAAGAACCGTGGACTCTGGAACATTTTTGGATTTTTCCTTCGGAAAAAAGAACTCGGCTTCCCGAATTGCATTCGGCAAGTCAGCGGAGGCGTGAAACCCGTTCAGCGCTTTGCTGTCTTTGCCATAAAGCGCTCTCAGGGAGTTAGGGGCTGTCTTTTTCGCCTCTAGAGGATCATCTGGGCCCAGAACTTCCAGCCATTTTTCAACAGCATTTTCTCCCACTAGTTCCAAAGCGACCACCGAACCCGACACTAAATGCTCGAGAATAAACGGCAGGTACGAGTCTCCTTTGTATGGCTCATGAAGATCCAACACCTGCAGCCAGAAATTAACTAGTTAATTAATCTATATTAATTAGATCAATGAAACCCACCTCCTTTCTGGTAAGATTGCACATTTTCATGTTGCAAATCTGGAAGCCACTTCTTTGGATCTCCGTAATCACTTCGCCCAGTTTGGGGATCAAGTTCGGTTTGATCAACGTGAAAGTGTGTTCTTTGGTTTTTCCGATGATTTGTTTGGTTCTGCAGTCCAAGTAGTCGGTTATTCGGACTTGACGCCCGTAGACTCTGATTGTGTTTCCTGTAAAATAATTGAAAATGATCGAAAAGTTCGCTTCTAATTGCTGATTCGTACCGACGAACATATCCTTGAGGTCCAACCCATCTATTTTGTTCCGCTTCAGGTACATTCGGTTCAATTCGCGATCAAACAGCTCCAAAGTGTTGTTGCTTGGATAATAGTTCAGGATGAACTTTTTCTGATAGGCCGAATCGTAATCAAACCATTCGGCCTGGAAGGCCAGTTTATCGTTATAATCGTACTCCATTCTGTTCTAGAAGAAAAAAATTCAAACGTCTGACAATTTGAAAGAAATCAATCAAATTTGAGTTTGCATAATGGGAGGTGAAAGCGTGAAGGGCGATACGTTATTTGGCAAGGGTTTTCGGTTAACGGTTCGTGGGAAAAGCCACTGTTGATTCAAGAAAATCAGTGTTTTTTCCACAAACCGAAAACTCCACAATTCCCGGAACATTTTGGAGAGAATGTTATTTTTGTTGCCATTAAAATATATGATTGTTGCGTATTGTTTTAGAGAAGATTGGCTCAGATGGTTCAAGAAATGTTGAATAATAATTATTCCGATCCAAACTTCAAAGTTTTGTTAAAAAGGTTTTTTAATATTTTCACTACAAACAGACGCAAGCAAATTAAAAGTAATTAAATGCCAACGCCGCTCTACCAATTAATAAAAAAAAGGGCAAACTTTTTTAAAATCAACAGTTTTCACTGTTTATTCGTCCTGACTGAATCATGGATTATTTTGATATCAGATTTACTTTTTCGGCAAACATTACAAAACATGGTCTAGGGGACTTCTAATTTATTTCGTATCTACTTGTAATTATTACTAACCGTAACGTGGCCATCTGCCGACACTTTGCGATTGAACCGAGCGCGATATTCGAGGAAAAAACGCAAGGGTTCGATAAATGGAAGCAAGCATGCTCTAATTTTTGGCTCCAAAAATGAATCAAAACTGAACAAGCAATAAAATGTGTATTTTCGTCAATTTTATCTCTAGTGAGTTTTCAATTCTCTATTCAACGATGCGAAAACGAATTCTGTGGCTCGAATGGTTCTTGAGAAACTTCGAAAAAAGCAGCGTCATGTTCAAGTGGATTTTGCAACTCAAAAAAACCACGCGAATCTAAAACTTCTTGAATTCAAGCATTTTTTGAGAAAACTGCCGACATTTCCTTATCGATGGTTCACTTTCTAAAAAGGCCATTTATTTCTCTCTAGAATGATGTACAAATGAGCGTTCTTGCTCATTTTGCCTCC